AAAAAAAAATATATATACTAAACCAAAAAAAAAAAAATAATGTTGTTAATGAAGATGGATCAACAAAGTGTTTCTGTAACATTGAATGGCAGTTTATTCAATGGGGAGTTCAGAGTTGTGATGAGGCACAAGAAATTCTTTTTAACTGTATAGCTTATAGTCAATATCTCGGAATCATGAATAAAATTGAAAGTAACTTCTTAAAAAAAAAAAAAAAAAAGTAGCTAATGGACAAAAAAGATACCATGTAATCACACAGGAACAGTAACCAAAAAAAGAAAAAAAGGGAAAAAGGAAAGAAAAAAAAACCCTGCACTATCTGGGGAGAAGGCAGTAAGAGAGAAAAAGTAGAGGAGAAGAATAATGAAGAAAAAATAGGAAAAACACAAAAAGAAAAACAAAGAACCTGATACCTAGGTTTACCTATGAAAAAGAAAAATAAAGTTGCATCAGGAATCGGGAAAAGAAAAGAAGTTGAAAACTAGAACCTGAAAGGCGAAGAATAAAGAATAATCGTAAAACGGACAAAAGTAATATTAATAGTAGTAGTTTAAAAACAGACAAACTAAAAAGCAGAAAAAAGGAAAAAAAAAGGCAGGACACCAGTCTCCATCCCAGTACACAGACTGGGATAGAATTCCTGCCGGCCCAGAAACTGGGTGGGAGTGACTGATGGCCACACCTCTGTTCACCAAGAGGGTGTGTGGTATAAAAGTAACAAGGGGAATGTCCCACCTTTCCAGTTATCCGGGTCTGGAATGTCCTTGGGGTTCCTAGCAAGTGGGACCTGTTCTTAAATCCCTGGAATCTGGGAGAACACTGTCACTTAATCTAAAATGGTCAAGCTGCTTATATACATTCAAAACGGCTGCGCCCTCCAGACAGACAAAATCAGTCCACTTTCCTCTTCACTGCGTCCTCTTTTATTCCCCAGCCACTAGAGCAATCCTCTGTGCAGTCCCTGGCTAGCAGGGATGATTTTTAGGTTAATTTTTAGTTCAAAGCTGTCTGTGCCCAGGATCGCTGCCAGACCGCAGCTCCCTACGTCTCCTTTTTTGATGTTTTCATGCAAATTCTTCTGCTAGTTGGAGTTTAGTCCACTTCTATATCCTTCCCTTTAAGGCTCAGAGGTCCATGATTATCTTCTGTATCTGTGTTAATTGGTTAATTGGTCCCCCTTTTCTTTGTTGAAGAGGGTCTGTGCACTCTTTCTGCCTATTCCGCATCTTATTGGAACTCTCAAGACTGTCAAGGGCTATAAATCTTAATGGAAGCAAACTGACTCAATTTTTTTTCCACAGAGAGGTTGGTGGGTTCCAATACTTAAGCCTTCCATTAGCAACCAAGTGCTTAACTTTACCAGTGCACCCCAGGGCTCCTTACAAGCAGTAAGGAGCACCAAAAGTTGAAGAATAGTATATCAGTAAATCAATGAGAAAAGTATTTCCAATAATGTATTTTTTCCTACAGATTAGGAGAAGACTACCATTATTTCTTCTTTTGTAGCCATAGAATCACAACTGATACCAAGTGTTGTGGGTACGCTAAGAAAATTTAAGTCTTTACCCTAGGTTTCCCCTCACCCCCATCATACTATTTATTAGACACTATTGTTGTTGTTGTTATTGTTGTTATGTGACCTCGAGTCAGACCCACCTCATAGTGACCCCTCCTTGGGTTTCTGAAGCAGTATCACTAAGGAAGTAAATTGCCCAACCTTCCTTCTGAGGAGTGGCTGGTGGGTTTCAACTGCCAGCCTTCTGGTTAGCAGTCAAGTATCTTAGGCACTATGCTACCAGAGCTCCCTATTAGACATTGGTCAGCAAATAAAGCATAATACATTAAAATTTAAGAGCAATATGGAAAAATTACTAAAGCAGGATACTCCCTATCTCCACCAATACTTGTCAATCACTCTTCAAATTAAAATTGTGCAGCCATAGTTAAGTAAAAAAGGGTGATTACTATATGAATCAAAAAAGTTCTTTCCTAGTGTTAATTTATTCATATTCTAGGAGAGAAAAACAGGGAATATCCAGTCTAATCCTACATGGGGCATAATGATCATGGTGAAATACTTTGTATAGGAAGAGGGAAAGGTATCAAAGTTAACAGTAGAAATAAAAGGAATCAAGTTAATAAATTCAGGAGATACTATTTAATTCAGCCAGAGCATATGGAGTTAGAGAAATAAAGAAAAAAAAAGAGAGTATATAGGAGCTCTGGTGACATAGTGCCTAAGGCATCTGACTGCTAACCAGAAGGCTGGCAGTTCAAACCCACCAGCCACTCCTTGGAAGGAAGATTGAGCAATCTACTTCAGTAGTGATACCACCTCAGAAACCCACGGAGGGGTCACTGTGAATCGGATCTGACTTGACGGCAGTGAAATAGGCATGGCTGTAGAAAGGTTCACATTTCTTTAACAAAAAGTGATGGGAACTCGTAACAAAGTTAAAGCTAGAGTTAAAGGTTACTAGATTAAAATTTAACTATCCATATACCATTCCCCTGCATTCTGGTTATTAGATTCTCACTTTATGATAATGGCATAATAAAGACAAAAATCACTTGCAAATAACTTTAAAAAAAAAAAAAACTAGAAGCAGAACAGATGCACTGGTTAATTCTAGCTTGCGGGATATTCTTTTGAAGCTTGAGATGGGGGTTATACAGCAAACTAGAAATGCAGTCATAGAGAAAGAAGAAAAATTATACATAAAAAGATTGACGTAACCATGCAGGCTCAAGGAAGAATCTGACACCGTCCATCCACTTGTTTCATCTGCTGACTTTGAAATAATCAGTGGAGGCAATAAATAATGTATACTCATCTTGTTTCATTTTTCCTACTTATCAGTTCCACTGCTTAGACCAGGAAAATAAGAAGGTTGACTATTCTGGTGCCCGGTATAGCATTCAGAAAAATCTAAGCAGCTTGATGAGTTACTGTTTAGAAAAGATTTATAGGTTTGTATATAATTCCTAACGTAATGTAATTTCCAATCTAACTATAAACCCACCCATGACCAAATTTCTATACAACTCTAACATTTTCCTCTTTTAATTCCACTTACATTTTCTTGAAAAAGTTCAGGGTGCATCCCTCGAACAAAATGTAAAGCAAACATCAACTGATCAGCCTGAAAAAATTAACAGATGTTATTTTGATTTTCTAAATTTATGTCTTTTAGAAAGTGTAGTTACTAAATTTCAGTTCAAAGTGAGTCTTTAATAATTTATTTTTATTAATACATAAAATGACTGTCAGATTATGTCCATATAAAACAAACACTTCCAAGTTGGGATAGAGGAAGAATAAAGTGCTAATAACGTTCAGAGAAAATGCTAAAGATCAAGTAACCTCTATATTTCATTTAAGAAAAAAACAAAACAAAAAGCTAACTTACTTGTAAACCAGGTAAAATCCAATTGTGAAGCTTGGATTAATCATTAACAGATCAACTTTTTACATTAGCAATTTACATTTTGTCATTATATAGGTTTAAATATACATATAATTATATGATAATGTAATTATCACAACTAATTTCTCCACACTACATATTAATTTTACAAATTAAACAGGAAACTGTAGTGAAATCCTGACTTAATAAACAGGAGAATACTAAACAAACCAAAACAACAAAAAGTTCCACCAACTGTAATTATTTACAGAAAAGACACAAAATCAAAACAAGCATAACTGATTGAGATTAGAAATAGTGAAGAAATCATCAGATGACCCAATATCTTTCAAGTAAAACAAAAGCAGGACCAAAAATAGGCTGTATCAATAAACAGGTATATCAAAAAGATACCAGTTATGTAGAATGAGACTTCCTCAAGGCAGAAGATGCGATCTGGAATATAGACTATGCTCAAAAATGTCTAAGGAAAGGAAGGAAGGAGGGAATGATGGAAGGAAGGACAGAAAAGCGAGGGAGAGATTAACATTCAGACTTTAAGTGGCAATCTGAGAGGATGAGTAAACGGAAGAAAGAAGAAGCAAAGTCATGGAATCTAGGAAGAGAAACTGATAGTTTGGTACGCAGTTCCTATTAGGTGCTGCCAGTAATCTTACAAGGATCATACTCAATCCAACTGTCTGAAATTAAATAATACATTTCCAAAAAAAATTGAAACAACTGTTATGTTATTAGAATTAACTCCACTTCAAAAGATTTATTAAATAAGAATATATCCTCTCCTCACTTGTCAAATATCTTGTTATCCAACATTTCACATTTGTTACATTAGTAAAAAATCTACTATTTTGTGCATTATCAATGTACGTCCTACAGTAATGGATGCCAAGGTGCGAGGCGAGAGTAATGCTAGTTGTGATGGTTAAGGTTATGTGTCAACTTGACTGGACCATGATTATCAGTGGTTTGTCAGTTGTGTAATGATGGAATTTGGCAGTTACGTAATGATGTAGTCTTCTACCATTTTGTGATCTGATATGGTCATCCTCTATTTTCACATAACAGAGATTTTCACGTAATAACCTGGGCTTTGGAAACTACAATGTCCCTAAGTGAGGGGAAGGTGTATACCCAAATCAAATTAATTAAATCACTGCTGTATATATAAACATCACCCTGGTGAAGCAATACTGTGTGAGATATACAGTATGAAAAAGAGGTTAGATATAATTGTGCCATGACATGTCTAATTGATACATGGTACCCATATAAAATAAGATTTGACTTTTTAAAATGAAAAACAAATTCTGTAAAAATTAATCATGGATTAATTTTGTAAATTGATTTACATTTACTGGGAGAACATTTTTTTTTATCCACAACTTGTACTAACAATACTCTCCATGAGGCTGTATAGGCCTTGTTTACCACGATATTCCTAGTGCCTACTATAAACAGCTCTGGTAGCATAGTGCCTAAGGCATTTGACTGCTAACCAGAAGGCTGGTGGTTCAAGCCCACCAGCCACTCCTCGGAAGGAAGGTTGAGCAATCTACTTCTGTAGTGATACTGCCTCAGAAACCCAAGGAGGGGTCGCTATGAGTCGGGGCTGACTCAACAGCACATAACAACAACAAATATAAACAGCAGGTAAATATTTGTTAAATGAATGCTCTCATTTAATAGAAATTAAGAGCCATGTAGGAGCTCTGGTAGCATAGTGCCTAAGGCACTTGACTGCTAACTAGAAGGCTGGCGGTTCAAACCCACCAGCCACTCCTTGGAAGGAAGGTTGGGCAATCTACTTCTGTAGAGATACAGCCTCAGAAACCCAAGGAGGGGTTGCTATGAGTCAGGTCCAACTCGATGGCAAATAACAACAGCGACAAGACCCATGTCCATAATCCGAGGGAACTGCATATAAATTCCACCTGTGCTACCTACTAGCCGGTGACCTTGAGCTTACTTCACCTATCTTAACCTCAGTTTCTTTTCTGTGAAAAAGGGATAACTATACACACCTTATAACATTATTGTAAGAATTAAATTACATAATGTGTATGAAACACTTAGCATGGTGCCTGACACACTGTTAAGAGCTTATTAATGTTAGTTATTACCATTTTTATTAGCAAAAATAATAACAAATAAAATGGACATCACTGAGAGAGGCTTCCTGTAGAAACTATCAGCAAGCAATTACTTGCCTGGCAGAAAAATCACTGAGACGAAACTCCAAAATGCTGGTAAAATAGCCATACAATATGTAGTCAATAAATAGGTCATGGTGGTCACCCTCCTGCTCTTTCCCCAGTCACAAAATACATCCTGACCTTAACAATAACCACATGCTCAAATCCAGGCCCATCACATTCAGTTCAATCATAGATACTGAAGTGTCACAGGACCTAAGGTAGGCTAAGTAAAATCTTCCATGATTTTCTAAGCTGGATCTTAGAAAAGAGAGGGAAATGTTATTTTTGACAACTGTCTGGTTTTCTAGCTATGGCAAAGAGTCTCTTTATTCATAAGTATTCCACAATAATGTTACAATGAATAACTGATGAACCAAGAAGGTGATAAAAGTGAAAATATAATTTATCAAAAGAAAAAAATATCATTTCTATTTAAACTGAGAAAAAATTAAGACTAAATTAATTTACTGAATTCTTATTTCAAAAAATGAAAAACTTGTGATAGTTAATGTTGTGTGTCAATTTGGTTGGCCATGATTCTCAGTGATTTAGCAGTTATGATGCAGCCATCCCCCATAATAAGATCTGATATAATGCAATCACCTCCATGATGAGATCTTATATAAGCAGACAATTAGTTGTAAGGAACTCTCCTCAGAGGTGTGGGCTGCTTCCAATACATATGGACATCCTGGTGAAGATCACTAGCTTTTTGCTCAATATCCTGCACCTGGCTCATCATCATCTGAACTTGAACCAGTGGCCTGCCATATTGCCTGCTCATTTTGGGATTGTTGCCTTCGTAACTATGAGCCAACATCCTACAATTTTACCTGCTAATCTTGGATTTATCAGCTTCCAAAGACAGAAGCCTACTGTGTTGCCTGACGTTCTTGGGTTTGTTAGCTCCTACAGCTGCATGAGTCAGGAGAAGCTTCCAGCTTGATGTCTTATCCATGATTTGGGGACTTGCCAGCCTCTACAACTGTGTTAGCCATTTCCATGAGATAAATCAATCTCTCCCTCTCTCTCCCCCCCCCCGTGTGTGTGTGTGTGTGTGTGTGTGTGTGTGTATGCTTCACTGGTTTTGCTTCTCTAGAGAACCCAGCCTAAGACACTGGTCAATTTCTAGAGTTCAGAAAATATTTAATCATATTTTAGTATCTATAAAAGTCTGAGAAGGTAGACTATGAAGATCACAGCATCAGGATTGGAGGAAGACTCATTAACAACCTGCAATATGCAGACAACACAGCTTTGCCCACTGAAAGTGAAGATTACCTGAAGCACTTACTGATGAAGATCAAACACTACAGTCTCCAGAATGGATGACACCTCAACATAAAGAAAACAGAAATCCTCACAATTGAACCAATAAGCAACATCACAATAAGTGGAGAAAAGACTGAAGTTGTTGAGGATTTCACTTTCCTTGAATCTACAATCAATGCCCAATGGTAGCAGCAGCCAGGAAATCAAAACTCTATTGCATTGGGCAAATCTCTGCAAAAGACCACTCTAAAGTCTAAGACCAAAGATGTCACTTTGAAATCTAAGATGCTTCTCACCCAAGCCATGGTGTTTTTAATATCCTCGTGTGCAAGTGAGAGCTGGGCAATGCTTAGCCTACCTTAGGCCTGTGACACTTCAGTATCTATTAATGAACTGAATGTGATTGGCTTAGATTTGATCATTGTGGTTATTGTTAAGGTCAAGGTGTATTTTGTGACCAGGGAAAGAGGAGAAGGGCAACCATAGTGTTGTGACCATTCTCACTTTCAAGAAGCATTCTGAATTCACTTCTTCCAGGACAGATTTGTTTATTCTTCTGGCAGTCTACAGTATATTTCACCAACATCACAATTCAAAGGCATCAACTCTTCTTTAGTCTTCTTTATTCATTGTCCAGCTTTCACATGTATATGGGGCAACTGTAAATACCATGGCTTCGGTTAGGTGCACCTTAGTCTTCAAAGTGACATGTGATTCTTCTTAACACTTTAAACAGGTTTGTTGCAGTGCATTTACCAAGAGTAATACTATGTCTGATTTCCTGACTACTGCTTCAATGGGTGTTGATTGTGGATCCAAGTAAAATGAAATCCCTGACAACTTCAATCTTTTCTCCATTTATCATGATGTTACTTACTGATCCATTTGGGAGGACTTTTGTTTTCTATATGTTGAGATGTAATCCATACTGCAGACTGTTGTCTCTGACCTTCATCAGTAAGTGCTTCAAGTCATCTTCACTTTCAGCAAACAAGGTTGTATATCTACATATTATAGGTTGTTAATGAGTCTTCCTCATATCACAGGTGTGTAGAAGACCAAATTTTAACTGCCAGCCCATGGACCACCTAGTAATCAGATATCTATTTATCTCAGTAAAAGGAGAAAGGCAGGGTTCAATCATGTTAATATTAGCCAATGGTTGATCTGTCCTTCTTCCTCCTCTTCTCTTTATAAGCATCATTGTAAACAGCCTACTTGTAACCATTTGCTGTATTCAGAATCAGA